CCAAGCTTTTGTTTTCCCACACCGAGAGCAGAATGACTAATAGTTACATCACTCCCAGGCCTCTGGATGGACATGTGACATGGGGTTCGACATGACAGAACGAGGCTCTCGCCTTCTCAAGAGACAAAATCTCATCAATAACTCCAGATATTAATATCTAGAGTTACAAAAACAGATTCTCTTTATCGACTCTTGTCTTTTTTCTGAAGGCTGAAAGCTGTTTGCTATGAAAAGGTATTAAAAATAATGAATAGCGTCCCACTAGGGGAGGCTCTTGCACAAATGCAGATGATGGCTGAAGATGTATAAAACGGACTTCATGTTACAAATCAGAAGGTAGAAGACATGTTAGCTGTACACTAAAAGGAGAGTTGGGGGGTTGTGGGTGCCAATCTTCATTACATGGATGGCTGCTTCCATACACGCTACCTGCTGCTCTGGCTGGCCGACCCGTTCTGACTGCTGCACTGCGGTCAACATCACAGCTGTTAACTCCGTCATGATTATCGTTTCCTATCGGATCGAATTCCAACCCCTTTGTTCTCGCACATTAAAGATTTAATATCCCAGCCAATTATTTTCTTGGAGTCACATCAGGATGTTCAAAAGTGTCAAAATATCTCCCTCTGATGACACAGGGGTCTTTATTTACAGCTTTGTTCATTTTTTTAGAGAGTCAGGCACTGGCAGTACAGTGTCCCTCTTAGGATCGGCTGTGAAACATTAAATAATACAAAGGTAATGGATAAAGATACCATAAATAGTTGTATATTTTTCGGCAGACCCGTTCCAAGTCATTTACTCGTGATCTGACGGTTGATTGGATATCAGTAAGTGATAGTCAATTTCCCTTGATAAGCTAGTCAGATAAGTCCCTGTTCAATAAATCCGTCAGACTCGGTAAACACATCGACTCAACAAAGTCCATAAATAATGATTTAAAAATAGGTACATAGGCATGAATGCATAAATGGGGAAAGTTTTTTATCTGCTTTATTTTCTATTGAATTTAAACAGGATTTAGCTCCATAAAGGAACATACCCTATCCTTTTGTTGCAGTTAACTTCATTAATGGAGTTAAAAGAAATTTTAAGCAAATTTGTCGGTATATATTGTAGCTCTTAAGAGAATTGGAATTGGCTGGTCAGACCTGGAAAAAAAATCAGGAGTCAGAAAAAGACTGATGGGTTGGACTTTAATGATCAGAACTGATTTCATTTCAGAAAATGTGAATGTACAGTATTTCATGTTTCTTATAAAAATGAGAATGCAAAGCAAAATTCTCGCAATATTCTCATTTGTGGACAAGTCAGGACTGCAGGCTGGCTTGGCAGAGCAAACAGTGGATGACAGGACCAGTTTACATGGCAGCGTCCATTAGTAATAAAATGTTTGAAAGCTTTGAGCTCCGTGTGCCATCGGCAACAGGACGGGGAAAATGTCCGGCTGCAGATTTGCTGCGTGGAAGAGCAGAGCCCACTGGCACGGAGAGACATTACTGAAGTCAATAAAGTTATTGTGAGGAGGTCTATCAGCAGGTTTAATGCAGTCCCAGGCCTGGAAGAGTGACAGGAAGCTGAAGAGATTGGCCAGAGTGCTGTCACTGCTCCAGGTCGAAGGAACAAGAGCAGGGATTCCTACGGCGCTCTAAAGGACACGTTTGTGAATAATATTCTTAGAATCTTAGAGAAGAAAAAATTTCCAGTGAGAAAATTACCGTTGTGTGTAGTGCTTCTGCTAAACACGTTAATTTTGCAGTAATAAATGATTTAGATATTACAGCATGAAAAATCTGAACGCAATTAATCTCATTTGGATTATTGCTTACATCCAAATGTTCCAGCCTGAACTTTTGTGGTACGCCCGTGAGCCTGACGCACACGCAACACAGAGCTGCTTGTTAAGAGAAGCTGCACAAAGCTGCTTCTCAAAAAAATGATCTAAGATGCTGGAAAAGACTGTTGCTGTGTTTAGGTCAAGCTAAATGGAGTTAGCGTTAGTGGATTGAACGCCAACTAATATTACCGTTCAATCCACATTTTTAAAGAAGGATTCTTCAAAGAAGCTCCATGAATGATTATTGGTTCAATTCATTTTCAGAAAGAAGCTAGGAGACGTTAACTAGGTCTCTGACATGCTGCTAGAATAAGCTGCAGCATCAATGTTCTGTCGGTCTATAAGCATTTACAATTGCACAATACAAAACACATGTGCACCAACAGTGAGAGTGCACTTTACCTCCAACCATACGTGAAATAACATGTTTGCAACTCAATAAGGTGGCCACACTGGGAGTGGGAGCAGGCCCTGCTAAGATGACAGGACTGCAGTCTGCAATTTACTCCAGGAGTGCAGCTGCAGGTAAACGCAAAAATTACACTGGAGAAAACCAGCTCCAATCAGCTCAAGATTTCACAATTACTGCTGCAGCAGGAGAAAAGATTACACGACAGGAGGAATAAAAAAATAAAAAAAACGGAGCAAAGCTGAAAGCAGTAGATCGGGTAAGGAGGGAATACCACAAAATGCTACACTGGTTAGCGTTGAGAAGAAAACCCTGCAAAAGCATTCACATCTCTGAACCTTTCCACATTACTTCATGTTACAACCACAGGCGTTTTCTGTTATACTGGGATTTTATGACAGAACTGTATTCTGAGCTACATGCAATCATCATGTATTGCAGAAACAAGAAAACAAGACCAGCAGCTGGAACTGCAGTACGAGGAGGTTTTACCACGTATCGATTCAAAGACAAACCTCAGAGTTCCTCAGATTTGGATTTTGAAAAATCTGCAACAAACAATCCATCAATTATTCAGATGATTAATTGGAGAAACAAATTGGAACATATTGTAGATTTTTCACGCAACCACTTAAGCCTTTTTGTACAATATTAGAAATATGTTAAGAGGGAAATAAACAAATAATTCAGCTCAATTTTTTTAAGTGAGAAAAAGATTTTATTGCCAAAAATACAATGACATAGTGTACACTTGGACATGTGAAGATTAATTTTTGCATTAGCCAATTAATAATTGGAAAGCAAAAGGTACTTAAGGCATTTTTTACACAATTTGAGCCGACAAAGTTAAAACTCTTACCTGAGTAGTTGTGGGTAGAACATATTTACAGACGATGCTTTTTTTTTTTTTTCTGAAATGCTAAATATATGTAATTTTTTGTTGAGTTTTGGCTCAATTACTACTCTGAGGGTGTTGTTTTTCTGCAAATATCCTTTTTTTAAAGTCTGTATACTCCAGTAATTACTAATTTAGTAAATTTGATTCATCGCGTCACCCCATCTGTCTTGTTCCTTCCACAGTTATGAGCCGTTTTCTACTAGAATTTGAACATTAATATTTTTGGTTTTAATCTGAAACCAAATGTGGAAAAGTTCAATACTTTTGAAGCCACCTTAACTGCAACCAAAACAAAGTTCTAAGTTGAATGTAAAAAGAGCTTTCCATGGAAGCATTGCTCTGACTCATAGCTCGTCTGATTAGTTATTTTTTCAGACAGAAAAAAAAAAAAATCTTCCAACAAAGGGGCCAAAACCCAAAGCTGAGGTAAAGTCTAAACTCCGTCCAGGACAGATCTCACATCAAGTCTGAAATTCTTGACTCAGAGTGAAAATACTAATGTGGATTTTACAGCTGAAAAGTATGTCCAAAGTCCACTCTGGCCTTTTCTGATGATTTATTTTCTTTTAGTCGTTCAGCTTTGACGGCTGGTGGGAGAAACTGAACCCTGAAGAAACAAACTTCACCACTGCGTCATGTAGGCTAATCAGCAGCCATGCTTTTATCCAGCAGAGGAGTTGAGCTGTTCGTGTCATGTCATCGCTCCAAAAACACACGGCTTCAGTTATCAGGCATTTAACAAAGCTAATGTGTTTGATTGTAGAAGTATTAAATATGAAACACAGAAAGTAACCAACATGACAGTGTTTAATTTCTTTCTACAGACTCGAGCTTCCGTTGGCTCATCAGGGAGGCAAGATGACAACGTGGTAAAGCAAAGACGCACAGATACATGACAGCAGTTTTGCACCGAGGTGTGTGAAGGCGACCAATCAGCAGCCAGCAGCCACAGCTGGGACACTAACAGGAACACCTAGTTACAGTCTGCAGCTCCAACATCTTCTCTATGTGTGCAGTTAGGAGACAAAGCAATGAATAACCTGCAGCCACTTTCCTCTCCTGCTTTACAGCAATTAATCCAGCCCACTGCTGACCCCTACTGGTGCATTAAAGTAATGACAGCAGGAAACGGTATGAACCTCAGTGGTGTGATTAGTCAGTCGGAGAAAAAGAAAACACTTTCACACTCAGAGGAGCAGCGTTGGGACAGAGAAATAGGGCAGGCTCTCAATTTCCGTCACAATTTCTCTTTTCTTTTTGCTTTCTCTGTCAGAGCAGGAAAAAGAAACAATCCCAGGATGCATTTTGTTAAGGCTGGAGAACGACAGCTAATTTTATAAGAATAAGCTGTTCCATTTTTACCCCCTGAATGCTAACATGGAATTAGTCGACAACGGATGTTATTCCATTCTGTCCTATTTTACATGCAGCGTTCCAAATGCACCACGGATGTCCTCTTACGGCACTAAATATGACAGGAGAGCTGGAGCACAAACAGTGGAAAACAACAGGAAAATAAAAAGGGATAATAGCCCATAATACACGAGGAAACATTAAAAGCTGAAGAATGATCTAAACTTAACAGATGAAAGTATTTGTTGGAAGAACCAAGGCCAGGAACAAAGCAGATACCACCAGACACAATCTTATTCATGTCCAGGTTACAAGAAACACTTAAACCCTTTTGAGTCACTTCCAATTTAGGAAGCAAATGCATCTGAGATGAAAGAGTCAGTCTTCAGCAGACGGAAACGTGACAGAACCGGCATGACCCACTGTTCGTCCGTAAGGACATATGCTATCAGAAGAGTCACTAGCATGGTGAAGAAGTTCCAGTGGAAGTGTCAGGACTGTACCTGGATTGTTCCAAAATCAACGTTTTCATAGTGGAAGTGGGCACACTCAGCCAGTTTTGGGAAGTGTCCCTTGGTGAAGGAAAGTCTGGAAACACAACAGAAACACGGATTGTTTAGATACAGAACGGCCAAAGTAACAAGGGATGAGGTGTTCCTCAAGGCTCTGTACCAGGAGGACTAGTTAGTGTTAACTAACTAGTGAAGTCAGTGTTACTGGTGCAGCTCTACATCTCTCTGTTGATGACAAAAATGTACTGTCATTTAAACACAGCAGCCATTTTTTCAACTTTAAGCTGGCAGATACCTCTGGAAGAAATTTGGACATTATAGCTTGGAAAACTACAAACAAGATGATTTGATTTTATCTTTAAATAGCTTGGTAGAACTCAACTTTTCTTTGAGATCTGTTAAAACACTCAAATTAAAACACTGGTTCTTTTATAGAAATGAGTAATGCTCTTACATTTATTGTGAAAAAGCAATGTAAGAAATTAGTTCTTTCCAGGTGGTGGACAAAGATACAATGGAGCACACATCAAGCAAAAATATATAACCTGTGTGGGTGTGTGATTACTCACTTCTTGACATTTTTGACCTTCATGCTGGCCGTACTGCTGCTGCTGGAGCGCATGAGGGGCTCCGCCCTTAGCTCAGGAATCTCCGCACTTCGTGCCTGAAGAAGAAAATAAAAAAGTTCAAACTATCAGAAGCACAAATATTAGTGATATGTGTGCATAAACATTCATCTGGTACAGACATACTACATCTATGAGGCGCTGTCAACACTTTTCTAGTGAATTGTGCGCAAGTTGCAGATTCAGATCAAATGAGATTATTGAAACAATGATTTGGTGGGGGAGTGTGCTGGTACGGATCACCCGCTACCTCCATTTGTACGCTCAGTTAACAGAGGAGGTCAAGAGGTCAGTTGTAGACGTGGTGGAAGTTACTTCTGTAAACACAGCAGAAATACATCCCATGATCTTGTGTCAAAGCTGCTTGAATAAGCAGTTATGTCATCTGACTGAGGAAGAACAAAGTTGTTTTTTGGGGGGGTTTTTTGCAGAAGGTGTTGTTTCTGTGTTTAGTGAAGTACATCCAGAAAAAAAACGTGGAAGTTTTAGAGTGTAAAAGTATTTATAACCCCAAAACAACACTAGGTGTTTAGCATTAAGTGTCTATTAATAAAAATGTTTTCAGTGCAACAACTTTACATGACTGTTTTAGAAATAAAACATGAAAATTGTAGTGTACTTTGGGGAACCATCTCTCTCCTCCTCTCTGCCTGCTTTGCACATTTTAAAGGTTTAGAGGCTAAAAGGTTCCTTTTTGTCTACTCCAGGTAAAACACCCTTTCCGCATAAAGCAAACTGAAATCAGACTGAATTATTGTTTTTTGGTCTATGACATAAAAATATGTCTGAAACCGTTTGTAGTTTTCGGATCATAACATGAAAACGAGTGAAAAAGCTTAAGGAGTATTAAATATTTTGCAAAGTGGTGTATTGATCTTTATTTTTTTTCTTTTACAAAGACCTTCTTTAAGACAGAAAAAGTTCAAGCAATGGATGTGATGTTAAGACTCAAATCTAATTTATTCATCTTTAATCTTTATTTAACCAGGCTAAAACTCCTCGAGATCAAATATTTATTTTATCCTCTTTAAGATCTCTTTATTGATCCCAAAGGGAAATTAAATTAATTAAATGTTAGCCGGTCTTTTAACTGTTGTCCTCATGTGTATTTATACTGACATCCTGCTATTTGAAATGTAAAACAAGCCGCATAGGAGGACGCTGAAGCAAATTTATCTGCCAGTTAGTCCAAAAAACAGATCCATCAACCATGGCTAATCAGAATGTATGATATAAAGAAAAGACAGACATTGACTGCTGCATGATATTAATATTCTGCCCAATTCAACCTAACTTACTTCCAATCAGATTCACACTTAGCTGTATTGGGTGTAACCCGTGCAACTTATGCAGCAGATTCTCATAACTTTGTGTTGTAAATACATAGTCAAGAAATATCAGCAGATTTTTATCGTTTAAGTGACAGTGATTGATTTTTAGTCGCTAATTGCCAGACGAAAATAAAACTACAGGAAACACAAATAAAAACAGAAGAAGTCATTCTCTGTTTTGGTTTGTTTTTGAAAAACAGACTGAAAACTGACCCCTGGACATTATGTGAGCTCTTAAGAAAGCAGAGATTGTTATTTGGGAAAGTTTCTTGTAAGCAGCTTGTGACCCGGCAGCCAGACGGCGTGACAGTGAAGGTGGTATGCAGATGAAGTCAGCTGGAACTTTCTGCACCTCCTCTACCCAAGGTCTTCACAGCATGAAGCTGACAGAGCCAACAGGCTGTTTTAAGCACTGCAGCGTTGGGTTCTGGGCACAGTGCTACCTCACATCTTGAATACCCAACCCTCAGCAGACAGCATGCAGTTAGCCTTTCTGTCCACACACAGCATTACGCTGAAGTCCTTCAGTGGACAACCAGGTCCCTTAAAGGACAATGGAGATCAGTGGAATCAGGCTTTTGTCAAACAAACCAACTGTTGAAATTATCCCGGCCTGCTGTTCGAGAATCGGTCCTGACGTCCTCCTTCATGGTGTTTCTCATGTCCGTTCAAGGTGGTAACTGAGGTGAGTTAATTGTAACATTTACCTGAAACCTCTTCTCAGTTCACTCATTAGTTTCTCTTTCTTGACTATATTAGATGGTACAGAATAACACCCGACGCCTGGCATGGCAGCAGTAATAAGAATGACCTAAAAAGGTCAGAACAATCTTTTGCAATAAGCTAAGCCCATGTATAACACTAATACATTTCCCATTTCATCAAAATATAATCTATATATATTGGCCGACAATTATTGTCTCTTTGTGTATAAGAATATTGTACACACTGATATTGCGATGACACGTCATACTGACCATGAGGGTACTGTTGATTTTTACATCTATTAGAGCTAATACAGTAACTGCTGCAGTTCAGTGACATGATGAAACAACACATGCAGTATCGTTTCTCCAAGTACTTCATTTTTCTGTAAATTTATGGATTTACTTCATTTAAGAATTTTGTCCATCTTGTTAATCAGCTCATGCTCGACACTCTTATATTAAACGTGCACTATTGTGTAAAATTGACTCTTTTTTTTTTTTAGCTTAACGTCATGTTATGTTATTTCCTCATCAGAGTGTTGCACAGAGTCTAGCTGTGCAAAACGCCTGGGTGGACCGAGTGCCGCCTTCAAGACAAAGATCCTCCTCGGAGCTGCAGCTTCTAAACTCTCAGTTCACAAAGCACCCTGCCCTCCTCCTTCCCCACTCAGCTCCTTCAGACTAGCAAGAAGCAATTAGCAGACAACTGGTGGAACTGATGTTGTGATGACTTCCTGAAGGTCGAGTTTCAGAAAGACCAGGAGTTCTCAAAGAGGCCCAATTTCAAGACATTAAATTATGTAGTCAAATTTCTTTTAAAATATGGTTGATGCATAGTATTTTTATAATAACTGAACGCAGTACTTGATTGTTTAATGTGCCTGGAAAATACACAATACTTTCTAGTATTATGATCTAGTTTTTGGTTTCTGATCAATCATCTGTGCGAGTTGTGCCAGTCTGAGTTTTGAACTACTCCCTCTTTGATAAAAAAAAAAACAAAACAAGTAGCAAGAGTTCGAATTTACATCTTGCCTGAAAAGTTTCAGATTCCACCTCCATCAGGGAGCTCAGATCAAAGTACCACATCCTGTGCCATGTTTGGTGTAAAGCTCTGCACCATTAGCCCACTGGGCTTTGGGAGCATTTTGCTCCATTTCTCTGCTCCCCGGTGCAACAGGGCGTTGGTGTAACAGCTTACACTAAGTTGCTTAATATCTATCACCTCCTGGAGCCACTGGAGACATTCAGAATTTAATCTCAGCCCAGTTCATAGCCGCTCTGCTCTCAAATGTCGACCAGAGACGAGCCAACATGAAGAATTAAAAGCCCCGCCTCTCTGATCAATATTCATCAGCTTGGTGATGAATATTGATGAATAAGGCTGGTGTAGGTCTCTATGTCTGTTGCCGGATCGAAGCGAACACTTGCGAGAAACCTCTTACCACGCGCCAACCACGGGTGGCTCAGCGTGTTACCATGGAGACGGCCTCATTTTCACTGTGCTGTTGATGCGAGATGCAAGGCCCGCAGTAAAACCAGGGGAGGAAAGGAAATAATGAATGATGCCGCGTGCTGAATGGAACCAGCACCGGAGTTGGGCTGAAGTGAACAGACGACAGGACAGGAAGACGGCAGAGAGTCTGAAGTGGTTCGGTTGATCAGAAACCTGAGGCGCCGTTCTCGGAGGAGTGGAAGTTAAAACTCGTCGGCCTGCTGCTTTATAAACAGAAGCTGAGGAGGGAGCCAGAGTCAGAACTGGGAAACACAGCCAGACGATGGAAGAGATTTACTTTGGGTGAATATAGAAAAACTATTATTCCCAGTGAACTGGACTGAGCTGAATAAACAATGGGTTTGAAATAATAGACTTTTCAATGACTACAATATCTCACCAACAAACTCCCAACTGCTGAAACTTTCCCCCCATTTTCTACTAATTGAGATTTTACTCGACAGACCAAAGCAAATTGGTGCATAATTATGACGTGCAAATTAAACGAGACTTGATTTGTGGTTCACGCATATGTGCGGCACATTTGTCCCTCTTTATTCTGACACTCCAAATTAAAATCCAGAACAACCACAGGCACCTAGCAAGTAATTATAGTCCAGCTGTGTGCCATTTAACCTGAGAACAAATCCAGCTGTTCTGTGAAGCCTCCGGGGTTTGTTAGAGAACATCGATGTCGAACTGATGCATTTTTAAAAAGACTGAAATAACAGAGTTTTATTCATGTTCTAGAACTGAGCTTGGGTTTCTTTCCAATAGTAGGTAGTGCATTCTCAGCACTGAAGCTTCAATGTTCACATGTGTTTTATGGCTTTTTATGTTTTTGTTTTTATGAAGTAAAGCATGTCTGACTGATTAACAGAGCTGTTCGAGTCTCACCATGGCACTGATGGTCTCCTCCCAGTCGGGTCTCTCTCTGGGATGGATGTGAGCGAGTTCAGGCACGATGTTATCGTCCTCTATGTGGCGTCCTGGCCTCAGGCTCCTACAGCCAACACACACAGTACCACGCATGGTCAATTATACTGGACAACACACAGAGCGGAAAGGTAGGTCAGACTGATAACTGTATATTTGTCGCAAAGATGAAACGTCTTCATTTCATTACGGTCTTGAAACTTGGATTAAAATCCAAACAAAATTAAAATGAAATTAAAAATTTCTGTTTCATTTCTCCCCCCTTTTTAGTGATTTGTCATCAGTCTGATTTAAGCAGAACCATAGCATCCACTGCTTTGACAGTGTTTACCATCGGTTACAAAAATGTTTTGAGCCGTCTTTATTAAAAATGTGAAATTCCAGCACTTAATCCCTAAAAGTATGTTGAGGAATAATTTTAAGCTGCCATGTAGGAGCTGGTCGGGTTATTTTCCATCTATACTTTCTCTGTCCCTGTTTGAAAAAGGAACACCAACATAAATAAAGTCTCCTCTGCCCTAATATCCTGCTCATATAACTGTAAATGAGTCATGTTTAGCCTTTAAAGGGATCCACGACTTGTTGTAACAATAGACTTTATGTGAGAAATATTTATTTCAGATGTAAAAACAAAACAGTAAAAAGACTGTCGGCTGTTTAGTTTTTATAAACTCAAATGAAATATTGTCACACCGTCATCGCCATGTGTACGCTGCAGTATCCTGGGTAGATGAAGCATGTGAGGTGCTAGCTACGGCAACTTAGAGCTACTTTAGCAAATTGAAAGATGAGCCCCTTCACTTTAAAACGCACCATGTTGAAAAAGAAGGCAATGCAAAAGCAAGAAGGGGAAACCAAACTGATGAAGAGGAGAGAGTCGGCTGAAAAAGCTGGAAATGCTAACTGGAAAGGAGAGCAAAGAGCTCCAGTTTCTAACTCAAGCTGCTTACTGTAAGCATCGGGATCAAAACATTTTCCCAAATATATTGTGTTACAAAGATTTAAAGATGCTTAATTTTCACTAAACATTCATTCATTAGAAATAGAAATATGTTCTGATTTGATTCATGCGAATGGCGTTAGCTCCTGCTAATATAGTAAGCAGAAAGCCACAAGCTGGCCACGGTTGTTCATGAAAACTTTGAGGCAGTTTGCCCCAATGTAGACGTTTTGTAGGTGGTAATATAGTTAATAGAAAAATCACAACAGTTTTAGGCCAACATATTCAAGTAGTTGTGTATCCCTTTAAATAAAAAACATCAAAAATACCAAGGAGCTTTAAGGACCACCTAGAAGGAGAACCGGCTTCAACAACTTACTCAGCCTCTCTGCTCAGAGCTGCACTGCAGTCCCACAATTCAACACTCCCTGATGAAGAGGCATGTGAGCAAACAGGAAGTGCTCCTTCAGCCCCTGCAGCACATAGTTTCACAGCAAGGCTCAAAAATCATGTTTCCATCCCCCTTTTCTTGTCTTTCTACAGTCATTGAGGCCAAACATGAGGGAAATGTGACAGAATTTCTCCAAGAGCCTCTCGTGCTACAGTCTCTAGTTCAAACTGGTCCTCTATCCCACTATGTCAGTAAACAACCAGCAAAATCACACATTTAAAATGGTGAGAAGTTTTAGTCCCGACTGCACATTTCCATTTGCCACAATTTTGGTCAATAACAAGAACAACGGCTCAATTTTTGCTCTGAAATGAAAGACATGAATCCCTCCCAGCATTTCTGTTCAACCACTGCTCCTCACCACTGGAGCCACTGCATGTCTGACTGAAAATATGCTGGAGGGGGTAATCATTTCATTTCATTATATCATCAACCAGTGGGAAAGCTAGCCAGTAAAACACTAAGACAATTTGCCTCTTTCAGTGACCTAATGTAGAAAGCGCTTGGAGTTTGAAAAGGATCTCCAACTGAGAGGCAGCTTGCTCTTTCTAACGTTTAAAGACGTAGACGTCCGTCTGCTGGGAGGAGTTCTACGAGGGATGTCTTTCTGGCTCAATCTAGAACTGATCCAACACTTTCCAATCATCTTAAAGTCAAGCTTGGAGAGAGAGCAGCTGCTGTAAACAAAACAACACTAAGAAGAAAGACAGCTGATTCAAAAAAGCTAAATCTTGTCTGAAATATGCCTGGTCACTGGTCAGGTTGTTACACATCTGTTCTAACCTGGGCAATAAAACAATAATATCAACTGTGATAGACAAGTGATCTGTCAAAAGAAAATATGACTTAAAATTTTTATAACTTCACAGAACTTTGATCCAGAACCGCATGGCATTCTGGGGGATGTAGGCAGAGGAAAGACGGAGCTGAGAAAGGCTGGTAGCATCAACTAACTCACTCACTCTTCAGTTATCAATGGCTGAAGATAAATGAAGTTCTCCTCACTAGTTTGGCAGTATTTTGGATGTTTAAAACGGAAATTAATCAATAATTTAATTTGATAGATGGATATGAAATGCTTATACCATTATACGTTTTTGATTATTTTTTTTTTCTTGGAATCATACCGTTAGTCAGCCAGCCGTATTATATAAAAATCAGGGCCTATTTTTATGTTCACAGCTTCAAGAAACAATTACTGATAAAAAAAAAATAAATCAATAAAGGTCTCGGTTTTCACCAACAATCAAGCATGTTTAACAATGACGTTCACAGTAGACTAGTGAAGGTACAACCCTATTCAACTGGCAGCAGGCTGCAGCTCCCTCTGTGTGTGTGTGTGTGTGTGTGTGTGTGTGTGTGTGTGTGTGTGTGTGTGTGTGTGTGTGTGTGTGTGTGTGTGTGTGTGTGTGTTCAGCTGCAGCTCTTTTTCAAAAAGCAAACAGCTGTCTGTGTGGGAAAGACAAAAAAAGCAGCGAATGTTGCTGAGAGCACTAGGCGCTAAATTCATAAAGCAGGAGGGAAATTTTTCTGGAAGTTATGTTCACACATACAGTCAACTGGACCTACTTTAAAACAAATGATGTAAAGATTTGTGATTTTTTTCCCAATTTTTTTCCGATGTGCAATAAATGACATCTGTCATTTATCCTTGTTATTAACAATACAGTAAATTTCAGACATTTTTGGTTTATTTCATTCATTTACAGTTTAAAACAAACATGTCACTTATTGACATAATAGTTTTGAATGAAAAAGAGTAATATGAAGGGAAAGAAAAAATCAAGGTCAAAGTTCAATTCATTGGTAATCCCTGATACTGAACATACATGCAGCGACAGTGGAGAGAAAAACTCCCCTTTAACAGGAATACTGAAAAAAATACAATACCATTGTGATTAAGACAACCAACCATATTGACCCTGAAACATAGAGTTATTCATGAAGGTGAAAGAAAAGGAACAAAACAAAAGTGATGTGTTTGAGGGAGAGACGAGAACTGCAATGTGTGGAATGTGCTCCATCTAAAGACGATCCCATAATCTCTCTGCTTTGGCGGATTGTCGACACATTCTATGATCTAATATATCAACCAGCTCTACATAGATAGTTGCATAAACAAAAATTAATTCGAAAAGAAGTCTAACAATACCAAAAGGGCTAAATAAGCCTAAATATAAACTCCTCAAAAAGTTAGACATATTCAGCTTTGGGGTGAAATTTCAAGACGACCCTAAAATGCACCATAATTTTCCATGTGAACTTAGAGATGCGAGTCGTTCAACATCTAGCCTGAAATTGGACAAGCTTAAGCAGTCTCGAGAGCAATGTCCTGATGCACTAAATCTGATATCATCATGTAGTAAATGTTGAGCAAATCAGAGGAATCTCAGTAACATTTGACTGCCGGTGTGAAAAAAGTTTATGTTTTTATCACATTCTACAAGATTCAAGGCGTCATGTAATCATATCTTCATCTACATCTGCATAGGAAGAAGTCAGAAGCGGCTCAGGATGAAATCTGGTTTGTCGATGACAAATATGATAAGGGATCCCGTGAGGAACACGAGCCCAGTAGAGTCGGAGCAACAAGTGTGCCAGCTTGGATGGATGGATGTGATCACTGCTTATATCCACAACTCTTTGGAGCAGAGCACGTTTTCTGAGCCTTAACGGAAAACACGTGGATACAAGCCACTTTCAGAACTGCCAATACAACCCTCTAGAGGACATTACTGTCCTGCGCTGATGAAAGGAAAGCCAATGAGTGGTGATGGAATGCTGCAGGGAGCTCCTTGGGCATCACGCTCAGCTCTACAGCAAATAAACAGCCTCAGCTTCACATGCTGGTTTAAACCGACAGGCGAAATAACAGTAACCGAGCATTAAAATTTATTATAAACCACTTCATTCAAAGATTCTAATTAATATTTTAATAAATTGAGCCAATAACCGTAAACACTACAGTAGTATAAAGAGGCCTGGGGTCAGCAGATATCACAGTAATATCAAAACAAAGAGCTAAAAGCTAACTTTGAGCTTTCTACACCAAGTAGAAAGCTCTTGATAATGCAATCAAGTCGCCGTTGATTTGGTGCACTCATCAATCAGAAATAAGGTCAGATTTTTGGTTTCTGATCAGGGAGGTTAAACTTTCCGGTCGCAAGTTGACTTCATCCCATTTTCAAACTAAAAGCATGGAGTCTTATAATTTCTTTTTGTACCTAAAATGAATCCATGAAACTGAGAAATGGTGGAACTCAGTTCCTACATTTCATGCAACAAAAGGGCAGCTTAAAATTAAGTGGTGGAGCTTGATAACAATTAACTCGATTTGAATTTGTTATGTATTGTCTATAAGTAGTTAGTTGCAGTTAACTGCATTTTAACCAAAAATAAACAAAAAAGCAACATTTTCAACTCAAAACTCGTTTTTGCTGCTAAATTATTAAATAAGTAATTATACGAGATCAAAACCAAAGATTTTTTATTTTTTTAAATGTGTTAATTAGGTTATTCAAAACGCAAAGTGCTATTACAAACAAATAGAAACACTAGAATACAAAGGTTCTTGCTCAGGACTTTTGTATGTTAATTTTTTTTTAAAATTGCGTTAAAATTTTTAATGTGTGAAAATATGTAATTAATTAATAGACATTAACGCATTAAAGTCCCGACCCCAGCTACAATAAGTATTGGTGTAATGTAACACATAAACACTGAGCTGAGCCCATTGTTGAGTTAAGCCAAGATTCACAGATCTACATTACACAAGCAACTGTCACAAAAGTTGCATTTTTAGACAGAGTCAGCAGTTCCCACTAGCTGCAGAAAAGAAACGTTTTAGTAAGCATCATCCTCAACTCTGAATGAAAGCAGACCTGTCACTGTGTATTTTTTTCTGCTCAAAATAAAGCAGTTGGTTGTGATATCAATAAGACAGCTTCAGCTCCAGTGGGCACCGAGAATTCTCACCATGTTCCCAGTTTATACACAACACATCAGTGTGTCTGTGTTCTCGGTGGAAGTGAGGCCTGTGATTCAGAACGCGTCCGTCCCATCAGCGTGAGAGGTTCATGTTGGCTCAGACGGTCGCACATCAGAGCGGCCAGCCTGAGGTCTCAGCTGACGTTTGGATCCGTTTATTTCAACCGTGCCAAGTGCGCTATCCATTTAATGGCTTCTTAAATCTATGCAGTTTTTTCACCCCTGCACATTTAATCATGTCAGAATTCCTCACTGATGCACCTTTAAAGTATTCGGCTTGTTCTAGCTAGAGAAAACTTCGCCTGCACCAAAGAAAAATAATAACAAAACAACCAACAACCAACAGAGAGGGAAGAATCAGCAGAAGCTATTAGTGAGCAACGCATGCAATTATCACCTTATGCACAATCTGGATCTTCTCCACAGACTGGAAATCGCTCCAGTTGGCCAGGAGTTTAGCTCCTATCCCACTGAGGCGGACTATCTGTCCTACATATGGTATCACAGACGACACGTCCATACACATAACTCTCCAGAAGAAAAAAAAAAAAAAAACTGTCCAACTCATCTGATCTGGCGCACTGTACTGTTTGAGTCATTGGACTGTTAACAGCTTAGTAACCATCCTGGTTCAGATCATAAACAGTCCCATTGTGTGTGTAATTAAACATTTTCATTAGAAACATAATTGTGTGAATGATACGAGTGCCTCGATTATTAAAATTCCTCGAGGAAAATTTATCTGCCTCAAAGCTTCGTTAATTTAGGTTTTATTATCTAGCGCACTGTGTTCCGACCGGGACTTTATTTGCGTTGCGTGGAGCTCTCACTTCCACCTATGAGTTGTTGACGAAAGTTAAGTGTTAGCGGCATAACGTCCAATTTTCAAGCTCGAGGATTTTATTGATCCGTGTTAATGCCCAGGTTTTTATCGTTTTTGGGGGACCAATAAGCTTCCTTAAAATGACTGGCGTGATGTCTGGAGTACGGCAGCCTTATATATATAACTTTCATTAAAAAAATATATATGTTTTTTACAATTTTGTTAAAACTGTCACTATGTGGTGACAGTTTGGTACTAGATCCTGTGCCGCCTTCTTGTGTTCCTGCCGTTATCTGAACAAATGCACCGCTCCCGGTCAAAAACAACCAATCAGAGCCAGAAAGAGGGTCTTAGCACTGTCAAGGTACTGCTCATACCCTCCCCATAGGGTACTAGCCTGAGCCATGAATGCTAAGAGTAGGTAGCATGGCCTCCAATGACGACAGATAAACGGTTTACCTGGAATGCTAAGCCGTTTGAGCAGCAAGTACCCGAGGATGATTGAGAGAAGTAAGACCCTCCTCTCGACTCTGGTTGCTTCTGGTCGAGAGCGCTTCATTTTTTCAGATGTCAGTAGTAGCTAAGGGAGAAAATAAGCCTTTTCACAGATTATCTGTCTAATATTACGCTGACAAGACATGGTGACAGTTTTAATAAACATGTAAAATTACATATTTTGTAAAAGTTATGTACTGCAGCTTTAAGACAAAAAAGGATGCCATTTCGACTTTATGTCCGATTAATCAAATTTTGATTAGGGATCGTCGGAAAAGGAGATCGGTTAATGAAATATTTTATAACAGTATTGTGACAACAGTTAGGAACAGTAAATTGTACTTTTTGTAGTAAAGTCAAAGTTCAGGGAAGATTTTCACCACATGAATAACATGTTTGCCTGCAGTCATTTTTCTTTCCTTCAAACAAAGAATCAGGCAATGACTGGCTTTGTACGTTTTGTGTCCATTAAAGTTTGCAGTGTGTGAACTTGAGTACATCACTGTGTAAAAAGGGATACCTAATGTAGACCGCATAGAAAATATTACATGCTCATATTACATTCAACAGCCAGAGCATGTACATGAATAGGGAATGAAAAGTGTGGTTTTTAACATATCATATAACCCTAACCCTCATGCAGAATTTGTTTCTGCATTAATCATCTAACGAGCAGGATTAGAGAGTCACTAGACAAAATGCAGCTCTAAAGCTTTTTAGCTCCATTTCTCGGTGTCATCTCGGGGAACCCGTCCCTTCCTCTCTCCCCCCTCCTGATCCCAAGCTGCTGATCCTCTGATCCAGCCTCACCCAGCAGGATTTCTCGGACAAATTTTATAAATCACTAGCCTTGGCAAAACGCCCTGCCTTTCTCTTTTTTTTTTTTTTTGTCCTCCACACTGTCGTCAGTTGCCATGTTGGACCGCTGTCTAATATATGCTAAGCTGCTGCTGCCATGGTAACCCCAGAGCAGGATTTAGACCTAGTTCAGGAGCGGAGATGGACTGAGGGCAGGTGGAGGGCCTGAGTAGATTTGATGGTTATCCCTAGCTCTAGAAAAATAAAAAAACACATAACATGTTAATCCAGCAGAGAAATAACCACCATCAAGCTGCCTTAGCAGGACTGGAGGAAAAGGCTACAAAAAAGTCCCTAAAGTGACAAATAGCTGTGGGCATTTATCATACAGTTAATCATTTAAAAATAAATAAATACATTTCTTATGATAATCATGATATCATGAATTTAGCTTTAGCGTTGTCACAATAAATTCCAATTACTGCTTAAGAAAACCCTTTATTGATGGGATAGATAGTTTTAGTGGTTTCTCCATTGTTCGTTCAATAAGTTCATCAGTCAATTAAAAAATATGACTAAATGCATTTATTGGGTGCAATTTAGTGACAGAAATCACACTTTATGCGAACGGTGTCCTTAGGAAGCATATTACAAATGGCTTAAAATCCAACTATTTGTGTTTGTGGGGCTATGGTTGCTGCGTCATGCAGTCACTGCCACACCTAAAAAAGGAGCAGTAAATAATTCTGATTGTTACTTTTTTCATTATCACAATAGTACCCCAAAATATTGTGGTAAAAGTTTAGGTTCATATCGTCTACTCCTAGTGACAAGTTGCTGAGTTGGTAGACGTGAGCTGGTGGACCGGTCTGTCCGTCAGCTCTGTCTCACTGCAGAGCAAAAGGAGACAGTAGCTGATTTTCAGACCTTTGCAGAGGCAGATAAGATCAGTGGATCACTCAAGTATCACCCAAAGTAAGGAAATTGGAGCCGATTTATCTGGGATGGAGGTTCACCTTCCAGCAGGACCACCACCCTTAACATCAAAGCTACAGCACAATGCTTTAGATCAAAGCAAATTTGTGTATTGGAACGGCCCAGTCAAAGTCCAGACCTAAAAACAATCGAGGATCTGTGCACATACTTGAAAGCTGCTGCTTACAGATACTTTCCATTCAATCTGACTGATATGTCAGTGTTTTACGAAGACAGCCTGTAGAGACAAACCCCTAAAGAGCCGCAGCTAAACGTGGCTCTACAAAATATTCACTCAACAGGACTGAAAACAAAACTCATCCTCAGTTATTAGATTTGTTTTACTTTAACTGAAAAGCATGCCTAATTTTCTTCAACTTAACACTTATGTGCTACTTTGTGTTGGTCACATAAAATCTGACGTCACAATGTGCTAAAGTGCAAGGGTTTGAAAACTTTTGCAAGGCACAGAACACGGTTGACCATTTCACCTAAAACAGGTTTAAAACTCAGAGATACAAATCATTTAATGACGGTGACTACAGCAGCGAGGCAAACAGGAAGCTGAACACGTCACCGCCTTAAGGTCTGTCTCACCGCTCAACGCGCCAGAAGAGATTCCCAGGAAGTGCTTGAGATTAGCCCAACGAAGATTAACAACTGTGATGTGGAGGAAATAAGTGACATCCCCCACAGCACCTGCTGACTGCTAAGACAAGCCGCCATGTGCCGGAATGTTGTGAGTGTTTATGGTAAAACAGCCTCCAGCATTAGAAGCAGGATTTTAGATGCAGGTGCAAGTTTGTGTTTGTTGCCGTTTAACGCATTGTTGAGGATGTGTGTGTGTGTGTGTAATGACACTGCACAAGCGTGCTGGTGTGGGCGTGCAGCTGGAACGATGACGTAATTGGCTGAAAGCTGCATGGTGTTGGTGGAGCTGAATGACCGGGGCTGCTGGAGATGTGAATGGAGGCTTCCAGCAGAGACCATTAGGGACCGCCGTCTCCCAGTTGCTATGGGGGCTGATAGGCTCCGTTTGGGAGTAGAGTCGTGGATGGGGTGGGGAAGTGGGGGGAGGCAAACTTTATACAGGGTGGGGTGGTGACTGTGCAAACTCACCCTATCAGCTCAGCTCTCGCAGTGAGGCACGGCTGTACATCGATGCCTCCCCCCCTTCCCCTCTCTCCCCTGCTTGCGCATACCTTGGTGTCATTTCTCCTTGAGGAACTCACCATCCCATCAACATACACATGTGGACCCACACACACACCAACATACACACCAAATCTTTGAACTGTCATAAAGCAAGCTATTTACCCAGGGAACATGGAGTCATGACAAAAACGGACACACACATTAAAACCTCAAACACTCACTCCTTCAATAACTATAAACAAACTAGCATGCTCACTAAAACCGTACCTGAGGTGTGGTCCTTTACCTCTCTCTCTCTCACACACACACACACACACAATCCATAGAGTTAACGTTGAGGGTGTGTGCCAGCCGCTTACCTGTCCAGGATGTCATGGCTGGACGTGGCTGTGGCTCCCAGCAGTCCCAGTGCTGCACTCCCCACCGCTGCGGCAGCCCCGCTGCCTGCCTCCATGATACTGACTCACCGCAATGAGCAGCCTGCCAGAGGAGAGGGAGGGAGGGAGGGAGGGAGGGAGGAAAGGACGAGCAGGAGAGAGAGGGAGAGGATGTGAAGAGGTAGATCAGGAAGGCAAAAGACAAATGAGACAGAAGGAATCACATGTAGAGGCAAGAGAGATGACAACAAGGGGATCGAGGGGTGGGGGGGAGGAGAAAAGTGTGGGAGGAATCAGAGGGGACGCAGAGCTGAGGGAATGATGAGTGTCGTAGAGAAAAATGAGGAGAACATGAAAAGAGAGAGGAGGGGGGTAAGGAGGAAGAGAAATAATCATGAAAATCATGAGCAGGATTTCGGCACAGTGTAAACACATGGAGGCTCTGGCACACACACCATGTGTGAATCAACAGTTGAACGCCAACACGGGCCACGCTGCCATCCTCTGCTCTCAAGTTCCCTTCCCAGCCCAGACTGGAATGAACAGGCTCTTCACCGTCAAGGTAACAACAGAGCTACGACTGCACTACATCAGACAGCTGGCATTAATTACAGAATCTACATGCTGAAGCCTGTCACAATAACTGATTTTACTGGACGGTAAATTGTCCCACAAGTTATTGCAATAAACAATAATATTGTCGTTTTGAGACCATTTTCAAGTAAAATAATGGCACAATAATGCAAATTTGCCCTGAAATGGGCAGAAAGTTAAATATCAAAACTAAAACACAACAACCAAAAACAAGGGAGAAAATGGAAATAAAAACCTCACCCCACTGAAACCAAAAATAAAATGGATTATGAAGTCTGTGTAAACAAAACTGCCCTTAGAAAACTATTCATCATCAGAGCAGAAATTATCAAGTTCATTTTAATTTATCATGTGATTAATTGCTTACTGCGACAAGCTTTTAAATGTACTTTAGTTGCATCATAAGCAACTACTTTAGCTACCAAAGTACTAAATATTTTAGCAAGTATTTAGTTTAATTCATATGAATTAAACTGAAGTTTAAGACCAAACGTATAACAATTCTTGGTCACATCCGTTAAAGTTTCTTGCCCTTCCGTAGTTGTGTAAGTTCACATAAATACCCACATACCCAGAAAAACTTTTCTGCACCAATGAAAAATTTAGTTTACTGCAAAATTTCCATAAAATTGCTCAAAAACACCGGGTTTAAGTGACTGCTAGCTCCCACCTGCAGGTGGCAGTTGTTCTTCCTGCCCCTTACTTCAGGTGAAGTTATAGTCCCAGATCAGTATGATGAGTGAAATTATATTCACTGTTAAATAAGCACAAAAAAACGAACCGAGAAAAGTGGTTTCCCTCTGTTTTGCATGACAGTAGGGGCAAATTATTCTACAGGCCTTGCAATAATGTGATTTAATGAGAAAAAATTATTGTAAACTTCTAAAGTAGCACCTCAAAATCAGTGATTATTTTGATTGCCAAAAAAAAAAAAATCACAAAAACAATTGCAAAATCGTGGAGGAAATGCACATTACTAACGATGCAGGAGGGAATCCTTTCGTAAGCACACTTTCTGCTTGACTGGTGAAAAACAAGGTAGAAAATTGGAAAATCTCATATTTTTCCTGTCAGTGAAAGAACTAAGGTTGCCAGGTTGCTCTGACAACAATGTTTTTGGAGCTGAAGTTGATACAAACAGACGCATACTCAGAGTTGGCCACTTTAAGTTTCACTGTGGTGCTTTTAAAGATGAAGTTGAAGGAAGCACAGAGAAGTTATTAAATGGACAGCATTTTCAACATGTTTAATTCTGGCTGCAAGACAGAGCGAGAGAGTGAGACTTTCAGCAGATACCAGGAAGTCAGAATCTATTCCAACAAAGTTGCTCAGTTTTATACTTTTAAGCTTTCAACTAGAGGTGAGGGATAAATCTATTTTTGGAGGCTTTGAAATGCCAACATCAATGATTTTAAATGTTTAATGAATGTCAAAACTTATCTTGAAGTTTATTTATAACCTCGTTCTTAGGAATGCAGAAGGCAGAACTTGGATGGTTGTAATTGGGGCAGCAGGACAGATGAGGGTAAACAAAGTCGTTTTAAAAAAGAAAAAAAAAAGACTGACGAGAAACAGGCAGCATACACAACTGAGCTGAAATATTTTGAAGCAAGACAAACATTAGAAATACACTGTTCCACCTGCAGGCCAAAGAAAAACAGCAGATTGTGCCGCTGTCAGCCAGAGAACTGTTAAATGTCAAAATTCCTCCCCAACATGGAAGACATGAAGTAAATGCTTCAGTCTTTCACACTGTGGCCCTTTGGATGTAAAATTTTCACCTCAAACATATTTTATACAAAAAGTCAAATTTAAATCAGTTGGTCTTCGCTATAAACTAGTAAAAAGTGACCGTTATAGTTTTATAGCAAAAGCTCTCACACATGCTGCGTTTACTCTTCTCTTATATGAATAATTAATGATCACTAATGAGAAACCGTATCGGTGCATCTTTACTTATTTATACCTTTACGATCAAGTTTCCTCTCAGGAAACAATGAGACCTCTCAACTACTCGTTTCCCAAAACTGAACACTTCAAAAGTTTTACACAAGAGAAGAAGAAGGAAACCCAGAGTTAAAGTTTTTGTAGTGACAATGTCACTGGAAGTATAAAAGAATCGACTCTCTGCTGCGCCATCGCCCAGCTCAAGTTAGCTCCATCTTAGTGATTCAGCTCTACAAGTCAATGTTCCTAAACCTTGAGAAAGTACCAGACTAGGATGATCCCCAGGTTTTCAGACATTTATCTGAATGAAAGAAAGAATGACCCAAGACCATTTTAATTCTGTAAACGGGACACTTAGCAACTTTCTGAGTCACCGCCGGACAGATTTTCTGAGTAAAAACAAAGCATAAAGTTGTTTGAGCTTCAAAAGATGTGAAGTTTATTCCATGCCATATTCAATCCCATGAAGCAGTCACTGTTTGGACTGACTTTTCTTCAATTAAGAAGGCTCCGTGTTTGTCCCAGTCAGCTCCCGGCTGATGGAGATGAGAGACGAGACAAGTCTCCTTCAGCACCGCCAGGCTTAGAGTGTTTGTTAAGCAGTAACAAGTGATAACAGATCTAAATTTGCTTTAGTGTTCACATGGATCCGAATACTGACTCTGGAAGCAGGTGCAGTCATAGTAAAGGAGCTGAAAATCACTCCTAAAAAGCTGACAGCTGTGGAACATCCTGCCAGAGTTTTAAACCACAATAAATATTATTGGTTGACACGCATTAAGTTCTTACAGCAGCTCAGAATGTGTGACAGAAGTAGAGATGCACCAATCCAAGATTAATATCTGCATCTGTATCTTTATAATTTAATATATTTATGTCTGTGTTTAAAAAAGCTAGATACTATAAAAGTATACATTTTCAGTATGTGTGAGGCATTTAAAAGTGATGACAAGAAGCCTGAAAAGGAGTTAATTTCCTTTTTTGTATTAGTAAAACATTTTTACTCATCATTCAGGTTGAGACATCCAATATGATTCTAAGAAATATAACTGAACAAAACAGGAAGGCTAAAAAAACAGAGAGAAAAAAATAATCTAGCTATATTTCTTAAGATGATAAAAATTGGCCAAATTAAGTATCCACCTCAAATCTGCTCAACTTACTGTAACTTCACAAACACAAATAATAGAAACGTTATTAAAGAAATCGGGAGACGGGAAAACTAATCTTATCAGTTGAACTCAATACACATATCTGGTGTGGAACAATAGGAGCCCCAATTTAAATATAAATAACTAACAAGAAAAAAAAAATTATACCGGCTGAACTCTAAGGTGCAACACATTGTTTGTCAGAACCACTACAATGCTTAAAGTGTTTAAAACTTGTAAAATCCTGTCCATTTCTGGAACTCAAATAAACTCAGGCTCACCTGCAGCCTACTCTTTTTACCACAAGTAAGCACTATTTTCACACAATTATTAACTGAATTAAGTCCGAGTCACTTGGCTTAAACAGGAGGATGTGGTCATCTTTCCTCCATCTCTCATCATCCCTGTGCCTGGAATCAGACCTTCCCTGGAATATCTGCTGCTACACCACAAACAACATGACTTCCTCCAGGTCAAACAGTCAAAAGCAAGGCAGGAGAAATGACCCAAAACAACAATGTGTTCATCCAGGCAGATTAAGTAATCCTACAGGAGAGACACCAAAAGGAGAGAAAGAAGGGAGGGGATCTTCACAAGCCCCATTGAAGCAGCTGTTTCTACATCTGAGGCAGACTTCCTGCACACATAATCCTCTGGGTTCTCTGCTAAAAAAGCAGCCGACACGTACACTTACTGTAGAAATATGGGCAGTCAGGGAGCAGTTCCCTCCCTGAGGGCACTGAAGGCAAATGAAGGCATCATCTTTGCTGTGATTAATTCCAGTCCCACCAAACCTGCACAAGATGGCACTTCATTTGTTTAGAAAGGTTTGAAACATGAGCTAAGAGTAGCTCTCGACTGCTACTCGGAGAACACACACACACACCGAACTCGCACTGACATAACTCCGTGTTTTTATCGCGTCAGTGTCCGCCTGCCTGAGTAGGATGCATGGAAATACATGCACCTTTTGTGTACAGGGAATAAGGTGTGCGACTTAGTCGGGACCGAAGGTGTGTGTCTACGTGTGCGCAGAGCGTGCGGCAGAAAGCAGGCCGAGCTTCCCACGATCACCTGATGCAGCAGAAAACACAGAAAATGGCCGACCTTGTGAAAGGACACAGCCTCAGCTCATCTCGGAGGAGATTAAAAGCCAGGACTGAAAAGTCTTGACACGCGAGGGAAAAATCCTCCCCGTCATCACAATGGCAGCACAGCGGAGGAGACGCTGGGGTGATATATTTACAGCCTTGTCTCACTTAACACTGTTAAGTGAGACAAGGCTGTAATTTTAGGGTTTGATAGAAGCCTGCACACAACTCTGTTTCTTCTACTTTGTGTCCTAAGCTCATTTCTGAATAAGTAAGTGGTGTAAAATGTACACCAACAGAACCCAATAATTTTCAGTCAGTTTAAAACAAAACACACATTTAAGTGACAGTTGTTCAAAGTTAAGATGATTCACATCTTATTATTGTTATTCTCTGAGTTTAAGAATAATTTTGTGGCTTTGATGTGAGCAAAGCAGACAGAGAAAAAAATTTATAATTGATGCTGGAAAAATGAAATGAAATGAAATTTAAAAAAAAAAAACACTGTAAAAGATTTGTTTTGATAT